CTTACGCTGTAGTAAGACAGCGCATTTAAAACGCTCACTGCCTGCCTTGTTACGGATGCCTCACGAAAAGGCATGTTTGCTTTGCAACCCCTCAAATAAAAAAATGCGCACTATTTGTATTGATATTTATTTTTTATGCTATAACATTACATAATTTCTGATTAATTCAACATTATCTAATGCTATATAATAACTAACACTATTCTTTTACTAGAGGGACTTTTCAATAAAAGCAGCCGCTACCGGCCAAATTTCGAACACCATATTTGTGTTTGTCCTTTACCTATACTTTTGCTTGGGTTAATGAGGAGACATAAAGGGATATGCAGGTAGTATTATACCCGTCATGTACTATGAAAATCTGATTCCCATGAGAATCTGACTCCCGGAGTCAAATTTCATAATGAAAATCCGTCTCTCCCCCCATAAAATTTTGACTCCTCCCTCAAAACTTCATAAATCTTATTTCCTTTGAGTATATGACTTTTATCTTGTAGTATGCATAATGGAGGATACATTGGCACTTTTTATTGCAGGCGAACATTTTCATGAGAAAATAAGAAAATTAAAATTGTGTACCACCCAATGACTCCCCTATGAAAAAGCTATTTATTTGATATTTGGTCAAAATGTTTCCTTTTTAGTAAGTGTTTTGTTGGGCTTGCTATTTATGAAGAATTCAATAAAATTGGGGCTGATTTCTTGAGCTAAAAATGAAATATGTAGCATTTTGACATGGGAGTCCAAATCCTACAGGTAATAAATTAAATACTTGTTTTAAAAATTATCAATTTTCACCAAAATTTTCACTTCCAAACTTTCAGATACTATCCAAATTTACGTCACAATGCAACTATGTGGAAATACCAGTAATAGTACGGTGTCTAAATATAAAATAGGGCCTTTTCTTCATGGGAGTCCAAATCCCATGGGTATAAAAACGAAGATTTTTTTGTGATTTATTTTTTTGTTTTTTTTTTTGTTTTTCACCCAATATTTTACCATCAAACTTTAAATATTTCCAATATATTCTTCATAAAGTACAAGTATTAAAGTCATTTACTCAAATAAAATAGATTTATAAAGTTTTGTGGGGGGAGTCAAAATTTTATTATGAAATTTTGACTGGGGAGTCAGATTTTCATTGTGCACCGGCACTAAACGTACGTGCACCGTACGGCCATCGCTTGGTAAAGGTATAAGGCCTGTCACACTCTCGCGTACAGAGGAACACGTGATACGTTAGGTATATGCTAAAAATGTTAGCTTATTTAAAGACGGGATACTTAAATATACTTCAATCAATCGTTAGAGATATGTTCAATGCACTACTCGCTCATCAGCATAACGCTACGTATGCGTTATGCATATTATACCAATCACCGTATGAGAAGCATAATTATACCTTTAGGGGCACAAGTATTTGTCGTATGCCTAGCTTATCTCTATCGTATATAGGGGCGTACATCACATGGGCGTGTTACATGGGAGTGTCACATACCCAGGTTCAATCGCAAAAGCACATGATTCCATTCGGCGACCTTAATGGCACGGTGCAGGCTCACCTGCAGTATAGCCCGTTAGCTTGGCGACCCTGTGCCACCCTACGATTCTTTAACATTCTATCGTCATCTTTGGCTTTCTGATATTTGGTTATCTGTATGGCGTGCACTTGTGCCGGTAGTTCGGTAGCAGAAGATTTGATAGGTTTGGTCTGTCTTCTTCGAGCGATTTTGAGTAAAATACAGTCTCTTCCAGCAGTGAACGACAACCTACTTGCAGCTTTATCAGGATACACAGGGCCACAAAAACTCCTTTTCAAAAAATTCTGATGACAATTTTCTCGCCGATTTGAAGGTGTGTGACAAATCTGCCATTTGAATGTCTGAGTCCGCGTAGGCGACAATGTGGTTTCCAGTGTCGGTTGCAGACAAAAAATATTGAAAGGTGTCTGGGCAGTGCTATATATTTGTATGACAGCACAGGTATAAGAATCAGAAGATCAGAAAAATTATTCAAATAAACCAAAAAGAAAAATCGCTATCACTTACTTACCACTTTAGACACATTTTCTTAATCTGTATCAGCTAAAACATTCCACTTTTATTAAATCTGACGAAGGTCAGTTTGATTGCTTACAATGGACAGACCTTTAATACATGTACACGTTCTGCAAAAATCGCCTTACTTCTTCATTATACTCCTAGTAAAATGAGTTTTCTTCATAGGAAATTACTAGCCGAAGATCATATTGAAATGATAAATGCGTAACTACATTAATCAATAGAAACCTTATAACATGAAGTGGCCAAGGCAATTATTGGTCGTGAGAGAAAACAGCAGTGATGGAAGTAAGCCAAAATGAAGCCTTTGTTTTCATTCAGATTATATAAAATGCTAGGAACAAATCTGTTCCGTGCATTTAGAGAATAGTCTTCATGGATGGTATTTGAAAAAATGTGGTTCTCTGTCTGCCTCGATCTTGCTCTTTTCCCTTCCATATTCGCTGTGATGGTAAGTTTTCCCACACCTACTTTTCCAAAGCAGTGGAAATCTCCACAGCATTAATTGTTTTTACATCACTTTTGGCATTGTCCAAGTCTCACATACATATGTTGGTATGGACATTGCGTAACAATACAATTCATGGAAAAGTATATTTCCTGGATATATGCTATTCTTCTTGATAACCGCATTTCCTGATGAAGATGTTCTAGAGAGAAAGCGAAATCATGGAGGTTAAAAACAATTTCAATACTAGCTGTTGATGGCAGAAAAAAAAAACATTCCAAATTTTCTGCCTGGCATCATGCAAATTGCTAAGCTTAATGCTTTCCTATACTTCGATGTCCTCACGCTTTAAATTTTACCATAGTCTTCAACTTATTGTTCAATTCATCATATATATATATATATATATATTACCTCTTTAAATATTTGATTTATCACCTTCCTATTCCAGTATCTCGTATCTCATATTGTTTATTCTATTTTAATGCATCATTTTAAAGAGTGTTGAGCAGTTTTATCTTTGCTCTAGTTTCTCTCTCTCGATTTTTTTCAAATGTAAATAATGTGAAATAAATAGTAAAAAATACTGATTTTTTTTGTATAGAAGAAAAAAAGTGTTATAATTGTTTGTAATATTTCTCTCCTTTTACAGAATAAAATTGAATATCAGTGGTTTCCTCACCTTTTTGAAGAAACGTATACAGTCACGTTAGATATTTGTACTAAAAAACTTACCGCGTGATAAGTCTCAAGACTTGAAATAAATCAGCCTCAGGGTCTACCTGAAGTACCTACCTGTAGTACTTATGACATCATTTTTAAAAATATCTTGTCTACAATCGTACCTTTATAGGGCGTTGACATGGCATCAAAACTCATGAGAAATTCTCACAGCCGTGCCGAAGGCATATAAGACGATTGTAAACGCCAGCAAATAAATCTCATCATACCGTTATCATTTATTTTGATTTTTTTCATATATATCCATGTTTCATTCGCCAGCTTGCAGATGGGCTAACTTTTCATAGATCTGATCCACTGGCATGTGATGCTTTCTAAAAGCTGTTCGATGATTTTAGAAGGTATATAAGTCTTCGCTGTCGTTCAATATGTTCATCTACGTGCATTCACAAGTAAAAGCTATTTCTAAGTTCATATCGTTTCGTTGATAATCATTAAAAAATGCCCCTTCTTACATATTGCAAATAAACATACACATTATAATTGACAGTTATCCGTGTTCCAAAACAGGCGCTATCCAAACTCTCGCTCTCTCTCTTAATAAATAAATAAATAAATAAATAAATAAATAAACAATTCATTTTTCTGCGTGAATATTCCAAGTACAGCTGCCATGGCAGCAGTTAAGTACTGTTTCTGTTTTTCTGAACTGCTACCTAATGGAAAAAGTGCTTCTTATAATATTTTCCATCATTATAATAATCATCAGTTATGTTCAATTTGCTGAAAAAATCTTATATCACATTCCATAAGTAAGGCTGAAAACATATTTTTGGGTGTCTTTAACGCGGACTTAGTAATTGCCAAAATGGCTTATTGGTCCAAACCAGGCTTCAAGTCCTTATTTCTTCAACGGGTTTGGAAATTGTAATAGATACATGTACAAGCATGGGCATATTATCACTTCCAGTAATTTCTTGGCATGGATAGGATTAATGGATGCTTAGCTATTCAAACTTGAACACTTCATCCATCAGCTTGCACATGAGTCTATTGCCGATGCAGTGCATTCTAAAAAAGGATTTGTTTTTTGGCAGGGGAGAGGAGGGGATGCTCTCAAATAAGATCCACTGGGCATAGTCTTAACTATTAAGACAACGCCCAGTAGACCAAACAGTGCCGTAGATTTTTTATACCAAAACTTTTTGTATGGAAAAATCCACGGCACTGTTCAGTCTCCAATTAAGCGGTACAAGATCAAAATGTAGAACAAATTAAACCTTATTGCACGATAATGTGTCTTAAGACCTCTGAATTAAAAAGCTCGGATTTTAATTGTGAATCGAACAAAAAACGATAAAAATTATTTTCATTCTTTTTTTGTATATCTGATTTTTAAAATATCTTTTAATTTAGTATGCAATCCAATATAAGGATTTAATTAGATTAAGATCATTTCACTGGCATCAAGGTATTTTACGGCTGTAGCAAGATTATATCTACACGTGTCATATGTGTGTCATGTGTGCTAAGTTGACACTGAATCATTACCCAAAGTTGCCGCAGGGGAGATCAAAATATAAAATGAAAAAAGACAGCGCATCATGACCTGTCTTCCAATTTCAATATAAGGGGCTTGTTAATTAATTGTGCAAAGAACATAATTACATAGATTATTCAAATCGACAAACATTTGTCCCAATTGTGCTATGATAGCGCATTACTAAGTATAAAAAGTGTTTGTCAGTATTATTTGGCCAAAGGGGACATTTTGACAAATAATAAACGATCACGATAGATCACGAGGATACAGAGCTCAGGTTTTCTCCACATATAAAGCGATCATCTGGCCGTCTAGAAGTATAAACTATTTCTACAGAAATAAGAAACGTACTGCAATTGTGTGGCTGTAATTTATCAGCATGTTCAGTAACGCACTTTTCCTCGCCATGATTCTGGCCGTGGCTCTTGCCAAGAAAAAGAGCCCAAAGCATCCTCACGTAAGCCCTTTTCCCGATGGACCGGCCGTACGTTGTCTCACTGTGCCCGATCAGATAGAATACAGAATGGACGTTATATACCAGGAGACGGACACAATTAGCTTTCAGGTAGGGCGCCAAAAATTATATAGAAAGAACCAGATGGCCTAATTGTGTTTACCCGCAAAAAAATCACCGTTTCTATATGTACATGTATTCGTAGCATGTATATCAATACTAGTGTTTCTACTTCTGTAATTCGTGGTTATACATGAGAACCATTTATCTGTGGGTCTTGTTTTTCTTTGTAAGTTTTCCATTTCTTGCATTGGCGAACAGATATTATTTCAACTCAGTTGCAAAATTGGTGACAGTTGAGCCGTTTGATCAAGCTACCAAAAAAAAAAAAGCTTTACCTGAATTCTGCTAGAGAGTCAGAATCGATATCTGGAAAGTACGGTCTCATTTATTTTCGGTATAGTACTTCTACCGAGAGAAGTTCTTCCAAAACCTCTGAAATATTAGATGTGAGGCTCAACTGTACAGAGAAAGCATCGAATTGGAGGAAGGTCTCCACCCAAGAAACTACAGAACGTTTCTGTACTAAAAATCAGATTAATGATATAAAAGCTATGGAATGATTAGTTTCAAGGGTCATACCATGTATTTGTATTAGGTAAAAGATTTTAAGGAATTATGATGGATAGTTTTTGAGAATTTGCAATAAAAAGTTCATTGCGTATGTATTATTCAAACGATATATATTTTAACATTTATGTTGTCACAAGTAAGCAATGAACGTGATAATTTTATTAAAATTTTTAGTGGCCTTTTTGTTACAATTTTTTTCGCAAAAATTCAAATTTCATGCTTTATTTATGTTTTGTTGTTGTTGTTGTTGCTGTTGTCGTTGCAAAATGCTTCATTAAAACCGTAGCCATGACACCTTTCAACATGAATTTGTAGTCTGTAACGCAAATGTGAAGTGTTAGGAAATTGTAATTATTATATTTAAGACCACACTGGCAGCTAGTTATAAGAAGCAACTCACATTTGCTCACCATAAGAAAGAATAATCTCACATTCTAATCTCCAGGCGGAGTATCATGTCGCCGTGGATGTCAGAAACTCCAAGGTGTGCACCCTGGTCACAAAGGTGGAGGATGGTGTCACCACAATTCTGACAACTGTCATCAATTACAACACGGTAAGTTAACTTTTTCATCTAGATTCGTTATCTCCACATTTGTTAACGAGTGACTGATTGCAAGTGGGTGTGGTAGAACTTACGTCCCTGACTCATGCGGGGGCTGTGGGTGTGAGGGTGCGCTACTTGGACATCATGTCTACCTATCTATCTATCTATCTATCTATCTAAAATAAATGATTATTTCCAATCTATATCAAAACTGTCTATTTCGTTTTTATTTCTTAATTCATCTTTGGGTAAAAAATGGGGGATAGTGTGACGTTACATTCTCATGATTTTTTACTTACCATTCAATTTCATTTTTTCGTGATTATTTCTAGGGTAACACAACCGTCATAGATGAGGATGGTTTATGTACATATTCTGCCAACGAACCTGGTGCAGATTTGCGTGACGACTGGCTTTGCATTCCAGGTATATCCCTCTTCCTTTTTTGTAATACACACAGACCTTTGATAAATATCCTATTTTAGTATTGCCATAACATTATTCAGTTTCTAGGGTGCTTGTTGCGTAATACCCGAGCTGAATGTATGCAGTATCTATTTGGGGATTAGACGACAAGGTTTTAAGTAGGTCGCCATATTTGATCCGCGGACAAGTTAGTTGCGGCCTTCTGGTTTCGTTAACGTATTTTGTTATTCTCTATTCTCGCTATGCCAGATACCGCCGTATGTGGAGACGCAGTGGATATCGGGCGTATAGTAGGACCCAAACCCGGACCTGGACCCAGACCCCGACCAAACTCGGTGGAGTGTGTTGACGCGGAAGAGAACATGGCGTATTCGGCAAATCGCACGTATTACGTGCGGCAGCCGGGAGGTTTCCTTGTCATGGACACCATGTTTGGATATCTCAACGATACATGTGAGACATCAATTCATTTGCTGTTGTTTAATTTGATCCTGAACTGTATCGGTTCCATCAAAAACTGGCCAGTTTATAACTATTGACAATCGTCCTGACCATCTAAGTTTGCAGTTTGGTGATTTTTCTGTATGTCCATTTGTTAATTGTTTTATGGATTGTTTTTCATTATTTTCATTTTGGAATTCTTGTGCTATCCAGTACAGGGGCTCAATTGTCTTTTATTGACGCAAAAAATTTTTTTCAGCTAATTCGACTCACACAGTGACCAGCAGCAGGGTCTTCCACGACTATCGGTGGCCCATTTCGGATCCTAGCATGTGCATGGTTCCAGCTGGTTGCACATCCGCCGAATCCAAATCCTCAACAACTTTGTATTTCCAAAAGGTAATTACAGCACTGTTGATCATTTTGATGCTTCAAAAGAAGTAAAAACAACGTCAGTGTAGTGTTGCATCTTTATTTTTGCTTGATCAAAAGAATTAAGACGTAAGTGACACGGAATGTTGCTTTCGTCTTTTGCTGGACTTCACAATGACTAATGGTACGCAGTCCATTTGACAAAAGAATTGCCGTCAGTACAGTCATTTTTTAAAAAACATTATATGCGATATTATATTGCCATAAAATTAAATTGTGATTGTAATCGTATTGCTGTCAACTTTAAGTTGTGATAATTCCTGGGAAGGACTAAGTTTGTTTTTTTTTTTTTTTTTTTTTTTCAGACTGTAATTGACAATGCACGCTTTGCAAGAAAAATGCCCTGGAAGAAGCAATTTTAAGTTTCTACTTGCAAGAGTATATTTAGATAACGAAATTCATCACCACTGACGAGAAAGGACTATGAATGACTATTATAATAAAAAAACTCATTTACACTAACTCTACAATAGTAGTAAGAAATCTGCTCATCGATTATGGCCGCGAAAAAAATTCTCAAGCAGTTGAAACTGAAAAATGTGCAAAGTGATCTGACTTATGAAAGTGCTCTGTAGATAAAATATTCGCAAATGATACGAAATGAAAATCATCGCAACACTACTGCCGCAAGGGTTGTTCATTATCAACAAAACGCTCTTTTTCAAGACTGTTGTATTGTCAGACATCAAGGTGATTAGCCGTTCAAGGCAGGTTGAAAACACGTTATTTACAATGAATTACAAAAAAAGGTAGTTTAAGTAACAATTTAAGCTTTTTGTGTAAATGGATAAGATTTTACTAGTTGCGGAAAGTCCTACAAGCAATTGAAATATTGCAAAGTTCAAGTATTCTCTATTGATGCATATACATTTATGAAGACCGTTTTTATGTAAAAAAAAACATACACATGCAAGTGGTTGAAATATATGTTCGCATTGTGACTTTATCCTATGTACGTACGTTTTAAAGACCACAATCAGAAAGTGCCTACGGGGGGGAAAGAATAATATCCTAAAAGATGTTCAAATTTATTTCATACCAATTGCAGATATTTTCTGCTTTGCATCTATAAAACAATGATGACTCCCGTAACCTATCTATTCACCTTCACCAGCATTTGGTACATGTGTATATGATAGGCGTTGAAAATAAATAGCATTGCCCGCAATGTATTTTTCGCAATGTATTTTAATTTTTTTTTTCTCTTTTGCTTCGCTTTTTTATTTTCACCTCCTCGTTCCCTGCACATCTATGTCAGATGAGTAATCATGTTATACAGTCGTTTTGATACTTTCATTCATTGCCTTTGCCGGATTAATCCCTTTTCATGTTATTCGTTTGCCTGTTACATTTCTCATTTACATGTTTTAACCAAGTGACAGATTAGAATGTTCCATAAAATGATTTTAATTTTAATTGTAATCATTTTGTTTTGAGAAATAAATCAAAGGTACACAGAGAAAAAAAGAAGTACGGTTTTTAGTCCTATTGCTTTACTTTTACATTGCCTTTAAAGTTTAAAATATTCTCTGTAGCTGACCTGAAATTTGAGAAAATGGCTAAACCCCAAATGAGCCTTTAAAAAAGTGCAAATTTCTTTCAACGGAAGTTCAATATTTAATACACAGTGGAATGAAATTAAATCAACGTGTTTCGCATTAAAGTTGCAATCTATTTTGCACGAAAAGTACAATTCCTCCTCTTGTACTTTGTTATGAAATGTGCAGAATATAAGAAAGGGTAAAGTAAAAGTGTGAAGCTTGCAAGCTTACAAGAAACGCGAGTTCGCGGATATCATTTCGCTCTTTCTACTACCGGTATCATGTGTTAATGTCAAATGTAGTAAATCTCTGTTTGGTCGGGAAATGCAGTCTGCTTAATCATATAAATAGTAAGATAAACACTTAGTAGATTTCGCATACTTGGGCTTCTTTTCGTTGAAATGTAAGCCCCGAGTAGCACTCGATCGATCGCGTATTTGCATATGAACACAGAGCTAGGTGTGTAAACGGTGACGGCAAAAGGTAGCTTTCCCACCAATAATAACCAACGCCCATGTGACCAAAGTCTCCTTTGTGATTTAAATGCTTGAGTAACAATGGGTATTAGAGCAAATATTTCGCCACAGGAGCGCTCCCTGTCAGTCGTTTACCGACCTTTCCCAATTATAGCAAACAGGTAATGCACAGTTGCTGAACACGGGCTCTGAATTGTACAGGGAAAGGCAAACCCGCCATGTCGGAAAATAAGAAACCCGAAGAGTTGAAGTCAAAAGTGAGCGATCTGCAGGATTCAGTTGACAGGCTAGAGAGTCAGCTTGACACTTATCTGCGAGGGCAAACACCACAGGTAAAATAAAGAACTGCACCAATCACACAGCGACTCAGAGTATTTGCATATGTCTGGGGACGTTCATTTATGATGTAAATGTTGACTTTTATGAATCTTTTTAATTCTAAGCAAAATTGAGAATTTGAGTTAAAGCACAATGTCGTCCGATGAAAAAGTGAGTATTATGGAGTATCGTGTATAGTGTTACACCGAGATAACCAACGATTGGGTGTGGTCCTTCTTAATCATTGGGAAGTTATATCAATGGGCGGAAACTTGACCAAAGATTCTAATACTATAACAGTCGGGGAATATGTAATGTATCACGCTCTTTAGAGAGAAAATGTATGTTCTATGAAATTATTTCGTGCTGGCAGGACGCGGAGTAACTAAATTTAAAGTCTACGAGAAAATTAGTTGGTGAGTGGAGCAAACATGGCTACCTTGGGTATTCAATATCTTTGGAGTGTACGCCGCCTTTTGTTAGAGTGAGCCATTGTTATTTTCCGCAGTCATGCACAGCGCGTATATAATGCCAGTGAAATGTGGCTTGGACTGGTTTTGAGTGTGATCATCTGCAGTCATCGTAACATCATATAACGACACCTTGCTGCGACACGTTCGCAGTACATGCTAAAATATCTCGTCAAAGTCCGTCGCCTTTTACTTATTGTTAAAAGGCATTTGAAACCTACCTGACATTTAACTCCATTACAGGTATCCGTATTAGACTGCATAGTCACCGTTTATGAATTTTACGATAATTATGTTATCCACGGTAAATTTTGTCGTCGGAATCTCCAGTGATTTAAGTTTATCAGAAAAGGAAAAAAAAAGACTTGGCCTGTCACCCTGTGAAAGGTGCCAAAGGGCGTGTCCTGGCGCGAGTGAAAGTGATTCATTTGCATACAACAATAACGCGACCATTTACTCATTGATCGCACAAATTGTAAACTTATTAATATGATGGAATCCCTTTTGGTTTTTGAACGAAATTAAAAGCATTTAATAACTGTGTTTGCACTTTGGGTTCCGGAATAGTGACTTTATGATGACTCTGTAGTAATTTGTCACTTGAACTGAAGTTAGTAATTACAAACTTTGAAGCAACACATGTGATCGTTGAGGTACATACCATAGCAACCAGTGCAATTAATTTGTGTGGTCATTCAACGATGAACATCTTCAGAATAAAATGGCCTTTGAGTGATTAAGGATTTGAATGCTTGCACCTTTATAAATGACAATACAATACTAAAATGTAAAACATCTCCCTACTGCAACACTTTCAATTCATGTTTTCACTTCACGGTTGTTTCTTTTCTCAGCCTCAGAATGTCGTTTTCATAGATGGGAAGAAAAGGAAACATGAGCAGGTAAGTGCATGATTGTCTAAATGAGCAATTGGCTGTTTATGTTACGATACATAAGTGTCAAATTTCTTCCTTGGGGTATACAGTAGTATAGATATCTTGCCAGTAAGCATATATAAATTAACATGACAGAAAATAATTTTCAGCAAAGGGCTTTTATTTGTACTTTACACTTACCACACTTGGCCTATCGTCTGTCTGACCGAGCTTACTGTTTGCATGCAAAAGTTTTAATTACTCATGTATTAATTACTCAATGGATGAATAGACAAACTGTACGAGTAGTTCACCGGAAAGAAAGAGCGCGGGGAATTATGTCCATACAGAGTACTGTTGATCATTCTTGATCCTTTTCCTGATTACGGTTTTGCGCTTCTTTTATATCATATATGGTACCGGTATGTAACACGTCTATTCAGCACGCCAGCGTGGGACGTAGCACTTTGAATATAACTCACCGGGTGTGTCCGCCATACACCGGCTTTTATATATTATAGACCTCTTTCTGTGAAGGGTCGCAAACCATAATCCCTCAGTCACAATGAACCCCGCCCTTTTATTCATATTGATAACCACCCCGTGGCACGTTCTCAGTCCTAACCAACTGTAATGCAGTATCATTAAATTGGGACGTTTTAGCATTTCTTAGAAAAATGACAAAGTCTTCATTGACAAGCTGTGAAATTCATAACTTTGTCACTTTCATTTTCTATATTGATATGCAGCTGTCCTATGGCCTATAGTCTACTACCATGTTATGGGAAACAAAAATAAATTGTATTTGCCGATGAAATATAAGGGGAATAAGAGCTTTTGGTTTCGTTTGATTAGTTTACATATGTTGTTTAGAGAAACATTACCTTAAAGGGTGGTTCACATTTGGCTTATGTACCCAAATCCCAACTTTTGACATTAGTATCAGAAATGTATTTGGGTTTTTGTAGTTGCTCCTTTTGTGTCAACATCTTAACAATCGTCCTGATGCGTTTCTTAAGAAGAATACATTAGGGGTATTTCACTGAATAAAACTGAAATTGATAGGTAAGCGTCTTACCATTACAATATTGGAACAGACCCTGATATTTTCCACAAAATGTACTCATTATACAATAGGCTGTTGGAAATGCCATATCTCTACATCATGTTTTTTTCATGTAAGGCTGCTTCGCCATGTTTGTTTAGAAATTAGGTTGGCCTTTAAAAATCATATGTTACCCAACATGATCTGATTCGGTTTTTGACTACATATGTCTTGCGAGTACGATTGAACATAACGGAGGGATGTCGTAGCTAGGGAACAACAGAGTCAGGGCACTACTATTTATTTGTACATTGTACCCCTGAAGGCTCCAGACTTAATATAGATATAATGTTATATGTATATTATGGGTGGGAAAACCAGTTAGCTTGGGCAGACCTCTCAGGTGTCATGTTTTCTTTTACCCTTTTTTTGTGATGTTTAAGGCGATTAAGGCGACGGCCCGTGGAAAATAGAGCTGAGATGTTTTTTGAAATCCCACACGACTCAAATGCCATGCACGTTTGTATTTTATTTTAGCCAGAGGTCCAAAGTTTAGACCTAGAGATGTTGCGTTTTCACGCCCCGTATGGAGTGAGCAAGGTAGACAAGGTGTATGGATGCCAGTTCCCCGTGTCCTCGTTTTGCGCTGTTTTCTTTCTCTTGTTGCAGATTTAGTGCAGTCTTACAATATCCCATACCTGCTGTGCTCCATTGCTTTATAATATAGAAATAATATGAAATGATAAGTTGCTGTATAAATACACTACCCTTGCTTTATTTGTCCAAATCTATTGAAGCATTGACCGTGATGCAATACTAGTGACTTAGTAGGCATACTGTAGGCTACACTGGTAGATATGCGCTGTTGTATCTAAAACGCAATCAACACCGTACAAACTTGGAAAATGTATAATCTGACTTCATCATACATACCGATCTAATGCCTGAATTCGGGTGGGGTGGGGGGGGGGGGGTTTGTGGGGGGTAGAATTCTAGGGCAAGTTTTAAGGGACTCAACGGGACATGAAGTCAGTCACACTATTTTTAGTACTTGTTAGTACGGTTTTGACCTTACCCAATGAATATACCTTAGTTGGCTGTAGTAATATGTGTAAAACTTTGAAATTCTGGGCAGCGAAAACCCTTTTTTAGCAATGAATTCTATAGAAACTGATATACGTTATTGCGGTATGTACAGTTTAGAAAGAAGTGCTCGTGTAGACCATTTGTTATCGTCTAAATTTCCGTAGATCATATTGCTTTGTCTTCCCTGTGATATTGCTTAACCACGTGGCATTGTAAATCTTACTGTATTTTGAAGACCTATGGTGCATTTTTGCTTCTGTTACTTGCTTTAATTGATACTCGTATTCGATAGATGCAGGTATATCCGGAGAAAATGAGCTTTCTATGGGTGCTTCCAAGAAGACTTAACAATCTAAACTGTGATTTTCGAAAAATAAAGGTGTCATATTTCTTGGAAGATATTTTTGTATTATACCTCGAAACGACACTTAAATAAGATCTCCCCTTAAAAGTTAATGCTTTAAAAAATTGTACTAAACCAAAAGGTAGTGTCGCTCGGACCTAAGATTCGTTTGATTACATCCAAACTACACCGTGGCAAAACGCAGGTCTATGAAAGTAACACATTAGCTTTCTTTAACATATAGGTATTTATTTTGCACACCCATATACATAACAGTGCAAACCCCGATGTAGGTGATCTAATCACTTCCACTGAAGCAAAGCTCTGTAAAAAAAGAACATATAAATAATTTTTCAGGCTGCTTCAATAATTGAAGAAGACAGAAAGCTAGACTTCACTAAAGATGAAAACGAAGAACGTGGAAACTGGTCAGGGAAAGCCGACTTTCTTTTGGCCTGTCTAGGCTATGCTGTTGGTTTGGGGAACGTCTGGCGGTTCCCATACCTTTGCTATAGAAATGGAGGAGGTAAGTGTGAAGAATTGCAACATGAAATATCTCTTTCAGTAAGAAATCCAGGAAGTGAAATCACTGATTTACATCTCCATATACGGTTATCTTTACATGTGTGTCTTAACTGTTAAAATTCTATTTATGAAATCTGATTAAAAGTGTTTAGAGCTACTCTTACTCATTAACTTGTAATATATGTATACATCATCCGTTTTGAAATGGTAATGGCAAAGGGGATTTTTTTTTTTTTTTGTAAAATTAAACCAGTTTTGAGATTGAAAACCTATATATGATATGAGGCTTTAATAAGTGATATTTAAGACAGCTAAAACTATATTGTACGTAGAACGAAACATCAAATTTCGATATAAAAACTCTTAACTTGAGATTGTTGGTTGTCTATTTTGTTGGATAATCCAAAAACTAAAAAAGTGCTGGTTTGGGAATGGTGGTTGATTGGGAATAGTAAAGTTGATATTGTATCGTATACACAAAGGCCGCTTTTATGAACTTTGCATTGCCCCTATACTTTCTGGTAATGGAATATTGCAGCATTTTTTTCTCTTTTCTTTACAGCTGTGTTCTTCATCCCCTACTGCATCATGTTATTTTTGGTGGGTATGCCAATATTTTTTCTGGAGTTATCACTTGGTCAGTTCACAAGCAGCGGACCCCTAACGTGTTGGAAGTTTGCACCAATGTTTACAGGTAAGACGAGTAGTTCCGTCACAATTTTTAATGCAACCAATATGTTGGAAATCGACAATTCAATATTTTTACATTGTACAAGATTTCGATACAACAAAATGCAATAGACGGAAATTTTGTCGTCTTCAGTAATTTTCTAGCCCTTATCAAACAACACTCCAACGGATTTAACACTCAAAATACATTGTAAATATGTTTAAGACCATCTTACATGTGCGACGTACACTGTACCAGAATTCCACCCTTGCTTCAAATATCTTTAAAATTTTGTAAAAGTATGTATTATCAAAAATGATTAAACCAAAATCTGTTAGATATAAGCACAGGTTGTCTAAAGAGAATTCGGCAAATCCCAATATATTAACACGATAGAGTGACAAAACTGATGACTGCGATGGTATCTGAAAGTGAATATACGTTCAAACTTATAGTGAAACGAGTTAAGGTTAATCTAACAATGGTAAAATGTTGCTTTACACATCTGAATCGTCATGCTATTTTACACTATCATTATGTTTCATAGATTATTTTTCATGTGCAAATCTTTATATTCAGGTCTTGGTGTTGGGATGGTGATCGTGTCGGCGTTGGTTGCTATATATTACAACATGATCATCGCCTGGTCGCTGTATTATCTGTTTGCGTCTATCATCTCTATCCCGACCGGGACGCTGCCCTGGGCCGGCGCCGGTGGATGTGGGAACTGGTGGAACTCGGATTGTGAGTTAAACAATATATTTTTGTAAAATATCCCAAGAACTGCTTCATTTAGAATTAGGCATAGGTTTTTATACGCGCATTTGTTTCCAAACGTATGTTTGCGTGTGAGTGTGATTACTGTGATTACATGCATAACTACGTGTGGTACTTGCTTTAAAATCTTTTATTCTTTTATTTTCTCTGATATATCAGCTCTCAGTTTTGCACACATGCCCACTCGTTGAGGGGAAAATATTCCGTTTAAATCAAGTATTTTTTGTCCTTTTTAGTTTGTGCGGAAACCTTGACGAACCTCACTTCCCACAATTGTTCAGCAATGTCACTTACTGAAAGTGCTAATGGCGTCTGTTATAATGGGTCGGTTGTTGCTGGTATCTGGAATTACACAAGAGCCAAGGAAAATAATATCAGTCCTCGACCAGCAGCAGAAGAATACTTATAGTAAGCTATATGTGGTTTGAACTATTGGATACATAGAAAACGAGCTAATTGCGCGATATACTCAATGGAACTAATCTTAATCGCCTTTTTGTGTTTGCTTCAATCTCATCTTTTAACCTTTCATCCATTCATAACACTGTATACGAACGTGTTTCCCCAATTCACTACTTTCTTCTGGATAAAAAGTTGACTTGATGCCAAGAATTTTTCCTTCAAACGTCCAAGGTAAACCCATAAGCTAGTTCGTAATTACTTTTTCAAACGCCATCATAACACATAAATCCAGATTTAACTTTTATATAATTTAAATGACATAACTGATCAAATGTTTAGGTTTTTCAGGGGTGGATTTAGGCCATCTTCTGGGTCTTCCGGAAGACGGTCAGATTTTCAAGTTAACATTGACGGGTATCTATTTTTTTCTGTCGGAAGACGGTCAAAAATGGAGAATGGATAAACAAAGATAATTTGGAAGACTGTCAGAAAATATCTCTGGATCCGCCCCTGTTTTTGGTATGGGCATGTCAAGATATTTTTGTCATAATGGCAATTATTAATTTATCCTTGCAGTGGTCGCGTGTGGCGGCTATACCAGAGCACTGGTCTGGATAACTTAGGAGAGCTGCACTGGGACCTGGCTGTATCGCTCCTGGGAGCCTGGGTTATAGTGGCTCTCAGTTTGATCAAGGGGATAAAGTCATCAGGAAAAGTGCGTAACAAATACTATTACATATACATAATTTAACACTTATGCAATTGTCAGTTAGAGTCGTTTTGATTGGCCAAAATCACTGTGCACTAGTGTCTAATCTAAATATTTATAATTCATATTTAAATAGATTTTATGAAATTCGTCTAGATACTCAGATCAAACTGAGAGATTTTAAAGAGTAGTTGGACCCAAGTTATTCAAACGGTATGCGACTGTTTTTTTTTCTTTTTTATTATTTAAAAAAAAAGAGTTGTTGAAACTCATGAGAAGGTCGTGTCTTAATAAACATCAAATGAAATTAACATCTTGAATCAATCGTTGTTTTTCAGGTTGTCTATTTCACCGCACTTTTTCCATATGTCGTCTTGGTCATTCTGTTTGTCCGCGGACTTCTCCTTGATGGTCACAGAGAAGGGATTGAGTTTTACATCATGCAGGCGAACCTTACCAAGTTGACTGAAGCAGCTGTCTGGAAAGATGCGGCTGTTCAGATCTTCTTCTCACTGTCTGCCTCATGGGGTGGACTGATTACCCTCTCTAGCTATAATCGCTTCCATAATAACTGTCTGAGGTAAATGTTACAGTATTTATTTTAATAAGGTGACTTATCCGATAGAGAATTGCTGATGTAAGACAAAGGATATTTTTACAAAGATATTAAAAATAATTAAGGCACTGCTTTTTAATGTAAATGTTACTATTTTTAAACAGAAAATTACTCCAGAAAGAATTTGTTCCACTGGCAAATATATTATTCGCAAAATGTGATGTGTACGATTTATTAATTTTCACTTTCAGAGACTCTTTGATTGTTTCCATCGGCAACTGTCTAACGAGTTTCTTTGCCGGCTTTGTCATCTTCTCCTACCTTGGTTTCCTGGCACGCGAGCTAAATTTGCCAGTTTCGGAGGTTGCTGACGGAGGTAAATGAATAAGCGTCATTTCCCAGTGCAACGCAATTATTATTGGAAATTATCAATAATCAAACACTTACTCAGCACTGTCTTTGGGTGTCATCAAATTTCCTTTCTCTAAACAGTATGATCTTTGTTACTGCTAATATTTAGATGAGTGTATATCCAGTAATTACTAGTGGATTGTTCAATACAGGTATCGGACTGGCATTTGTGGTATATCCACGAGCCGTTGCAACAATCGGCGCATCCCACTTTTGGTCCATCATCTTCTTCATCATGTTGATTACACTTGGCTTGGACAGCGAGGTACGTTTATACAGATGGTTTCATATTCATGATTACATGAGTAAAAATTCATATTTCGTCATTTTGTTTTAAGATAAACAACATTATAGATATACAGAAATAATAAGTAAAACGCTGGCTTTATGGCATTTTGCTTAAAACACGGGGGTGACATACAATTTTTTTAACATCTTTATTCTCTTGAAAGGTTAAATATTATTGAAGTATGATTAAAGGTGGCAAGTCGCCAAGGCATTACAGGCTCACCTTTGAAATATATCAAGTCATTAAGTTACATTAAATAATAATAATAATAATAATAATAATAATAATGATTAAAAAAATAATATTCAAAGAAAAGACAGTAACGAAGACATAAGTGACATACCATACAACAACGTCACAAAGCATTTATAATATCCTCTTCTTGGAATTTTGCAAAACAGAATACTGATTTTTCAATTTATATATTCACAGTTTGCCTTAGTTGAAACCGTCACCACTTCTATCATGGACGTATGGACCAGTACTAGGAAGCACAAATGGGCCGTGGTCACGTGCGTTAGCATCATCTTGTACCTGCTTGGCCTCGTTATGTGCACGTCTGTAAGTTGGGAATCAAGCGTACTTTACTGTTAATAAATATCTGCAAAATTTATCCGCCTTTGTGACAAATGTGATAAAACAGTTATTCTTGACATAGACACTAAATGACAAGATCATACACTATTCAAATGTTTCAACTATTCAACTATCCATGGGCCTTTTTCATAACCCAGTAATACATTACAGTTTGATGATGAGCTTGAAAAAAAGGGACACACAAATATGTAGTTCCAGTAGGCAAAGTGTTGTTGAAATCGTATAACTAAACTCAGGGTGATATTTTTCATTTCCCGATAAAATAGTAACAAAATGCATGCAGGATAATTAACTTGACACAACAGATCGTATGGAAGCCTAAGAAAAAATGGTGTTAACAAGTTGAACCCAAACAAAGGCGGAAATGTCGAATGCTTACGCACCGGTAATACTCAAGAAATAATAAAATCAACAACCTGATCTCATTGCTTGCTTGGAAATTAATAGCCAATACAATAATTGTTATATAATTGTATATAATTGTAATTCGACGAACACAACTGATAATTATTCCAGGGTGGAGCCTACTTACTACAGCTGGCGGATGAATATTCTGGGGGCTGGAACGTTCTTTTGATTGCTTTCTCGGAGTGCATAGCCATTGGCCTCGTATACGGTAACCTTTTTAAATATAAGTTTCTTAAAAGTAATGATTTCAAATATATGAGTATATCAAATCATTTATACTTCGGATTGACTTGAACCAAAACGCCAAAATTACAACTCTAAGTTAAGGACTCTTTTGACTAAGAAAACGACACAGTCTTACTGAGTTTTATTGCTCATTAAGACAAGACAATTAATTCTGCTCATACTGGTAGTTTAGCCATCCACTACGCAAACGTTATGTAACTACTTTGCAGGCGTAAAGCGGTTCAGAGACGACATTTACGTGATGGTTGGAGAGATGCCTTGCTTCCCTTGGATGTGTTCCTGGTGGTGGTGGGCTGTCAACTGGTGTTTCTTCACTCCACTCCTTGTGGCTGTAAGTGAAATTATGGCAAATGGCATAATAATTAACACGTGTGATAATCAAAATAATCCGTATTAAAAAGCGTATGTTGTAAATAAAAATTATGACAAATTTCCATAGACCAAAGTGATGACCGAAATCTCTGAAACTGCTTTTGATTCCACCTTTCAGTTTATTATGATCTTCTCCTGGATCAACTACAAGCCACTGTCATTTGGAACTTACGAGTATCCAGTGTGGGGTCTTGCACTCGGCTGGCTGATGACCATGGCGGTGGTGGTAGGCATCTTCATCCCGTACATCTACCTGCTCATAGTGACACCTGGCGGCCTGTGGACTGTAAGTGTTCAAAACAACATTTCCCCTTCTATATTATCTTCTATATATGTTATGAATGCACTAGTATGTGGAACCGCTAATGTCTTCTTGTGGGACGTGGTTACCTATGATAAAATGAAAGAAGTAAGATGAAGTGTTTTGTGTCCAAAATATTTTTTACAATAAAGTGTTTTGGTTAACCTAATCTTTCAAGTACTATTGGCAAGTGCTATGAATGTATTTGTCAGTAGATCCAATTAGTAAGTAAAGCTACCAATGAAAACCACTAAATCTGACTCGCTACCAGAAGTTCAGATTTTTCATGAAGTCAATTCACTTTGTTTTTATCTTTATCCGCAGCGTATTGTAACCCTCGCCTCCCCGACAGTAGAATGGGGCCCTGCTCTACCTAAACACCGGCGCCTGGCAGCCAGGTTCCACCGTGCAATGATTATTGATCCATGGGATACTGGTGTAATGGGGAACGGTCTGGAAGTGAAAGTAAGTCGGATACTTAGCGTTCGAATATTCAGCATAATGGAACCAAGGGTAGGGCAATTGATAAAAAGATATAAAACGTACATTTTAACACAAAAAAAAAAAAAAAAAGAAAAGAAAGAGGAGAAAAAACACAAAGGTTATTTGATTCATTTGATATAATGGGGATATGTAAGGGATAATATGGCAATACCATGTGTGCATTTCGACCATTCATCCTTCTACATCTGTGAATAAGCAGTAGGCTTCGTCATTTATTAGTCCCCAATGAGGTAACACCGATCTTTCCCCTCAATCATGAGCACTCTATCTATGTATGAATATCAATATTTGATCTCTGTGTACAGTTTTGTTCAGATTTGTCACGACTACCTTCAGGTGGATCCTGGTCCAGGTGTTCCAAACCCAGCTTACGAAGATGACAGGCTATGAATCTCGTGCAACGAACTAGAAAAAAACTGAGAATGAAGAGACACGGACGTCAGGGGCGGATTGAGGCCGTATTCTGGGTCTTCAGGAAGACTGTCAGATATTCAAATATAAACTGACTTGTATCTATTTTTTTTCTGTCGGAAGACGGTCAAAAATGGAGAATGGATCAACAAAGATAATTTGGGAGACTGTCAGAAAAAAGCTCTGGATCCGCCCCTGCCCGTGTAGTGCTTATAGTGTTATACTTCCACAAAAGCACAGCTGTTTATATCATCCAAAATATCTGACAAAAAATCAACCAGTCTATGCAATTATGGAAACAAGTAGGAAGAAATCCTTGACATAAAGCCGAAGATGAGGATATCTTTTTCACAATTACATCTTCGCATGTAAATATAAATCTTATCATTATTTTGGTAAATGCAAAACGAGTCAATCCATAGATGTATATACATGTAGAAAATATTGTTATGTATTTAGGCACATTTATATTACTTTGCAACTCGAGAATCTATTACTCGTAGCCATTCTTCCAATCTGAATAAATCCGTATCCTCGTAATCTACAATCTTTTAGCCTCTCCTGTAAAATGGAAGGAGAGGGAGAGGAAGAAGTGAGCGCATGAGTATCTGATTTATCCAGGTTGCAGTTCTTCCACCTTTTTAGGAACGGGTTATCCTGAAGCAAGAACGTGTGCATCAGTTTAGTTTAGCATGAATAGCTTACTCACAAAGCTTTGCAATAGGTGGATTATCACAAAAATATTGATATAATTATCTGGACATCTGAATTCGGTCCTGGGTTTAAATTGGTCTGCCTGTGCTGAGATTTATTCAAGTTGAAAGTATAATCTCAATTGTATTTATTGAAATAAGATGTTAAAATTGGGGTCATCTTTCTGTTATAAGTTTACTGGTAGACCAGTCATATTTTAAATTGAATATTTCCCTTTCTACCTTTCTGTCTTCTCTTTTTTGTTCTTTCTTTTTGAAGCGGGCCGTAAGAGGTCGCAAAGGCATTTTGAATTGTGATATGGTTAAAATGTGATTGATATTCGTGTTTCCGTTGGAGAAATTGCCAAATTCACGCAACATCCAATCTTATTATCTTATTGACCTTTCCGTTTTACTAAATGTATTTTTATTGTTATACATTTCATACACATATATACATATACTTCTTTCAATGATAAATAATAAAATTTAACAAAATGGTTTTATCATTATGTAGGTCGTCTTGTTTTTTATTTTTTTTTGTGCGGACTTAGTTTTAAGATAGGTCGTCATCAGAAGTGGATCAGTAATTATATATATATATATATATATATATATATAGAGAGAGAGAGAGAGAGAGAGAGAGAGAGAGAGAGAGAGAGGTTCTCAGCTTATGCGCTTGCTCTCGATATTAAATCAAAATGAAAACTCTGCTGTGGCTCGTTTAGACGATATAAATAGGTTGTTAATCACTTTCTTTCTGTTGAAAAGACAGAACCCTGTGCTGTATAAAAAGACTGTCCTGGTGCCTTTTTTAAAAATTAATTCCAGCTAAAAGACGATTAAAAAAGGGAAAGAATAAAATCCAATTTTTGCAGAAAAATAATGTTGTCTTTGGTACCTTTACGAAAAGTCTATTTTATCTTTACGAAAGCGTTCTTTCTCTTGCCTTTACATTGCTCTTGCCTGAGCATGGCTACATCAATCGTTTGTCTTTTCCTATAGAATAGATTTAGCAGTGTAAATACACATGTATGGCTAACTTGAAGTAACGAAGTCGCATCCCACAGAAACGATTTTTTTTCTCGACCAGGCAGTCCTCATTGCGTTAGGTGAAGAAAACACATTCAGCAACCACTTCAATTTGAATTTTATTTTTGTATGGATATTTATTCATTATTTTGTTACTGGGCTTATGTAAGCAACGATGACTAAGTTAAAAAAATACATGTGGGCCCCCTATTCGAAAAATAAGAAGGATGTCCTAACACCAGAAAGCGTCATGGAGTCCGCGCATGGGAATACTGCTTTCCCTAGAATATAACTCCTCGTGTAATTAAAAAGCTTCTTTATAGTATTAAAGAAAAATACTAAAATGAAGACAACTATGAAGTAGCTAGGCCTATATGTTTTTCAAAAATCTCCTTAAATTCATAGCTTAGTTGATTTTGGGCGAAAAAAGTTCTTACAAAAAGAACATCCTAACCCTGGTCTTTTTTAAAAATAATATCTCATTTTTAGGGGGATAAAAAAAAAACAATTTATCCAATTAAACGTTTTCTTTTAATCTAATTTTGCACAGAGAAGGATTGGGGATTGGATCTTGAGGAACATATTTTACGACACTGTGAGGTATTAGTACCGTATTGCGTTAGAGACACCTCTTACGACTTTTACGACCACAGAAGTCCAGATTGAAGTAGGGGAGTGACAGCAACTGACTGTTGATATTTTGGTTGTGATTTTACAATATATAAGCCAGATAATATTTTTCTTAACACTGTAGAATGGTGATTTGCACAAGTTCAATACTAAATCTGCCATCAGTGATATGACGTCAACTGGGAAACGGCTTTAGTTGAACTTAAAAGAAGTGTTTACGTTACCTCAATCTGAAATCGCTACACGTACTGGTGGTGATAGTCCATGGAGGACGCTAAAGGGGACGGTGACACGCCCGTCAAGACACCTGTACAAAGACAGGGAAGTGCCAGTAGTGCCACAAGACCAGACTCTCTAAAAGGGAGACTTTCTTCAGCCTCACGACGCTCAGGTGTGTAACCAGGCCGACATTGTATGTTTTGTTGACATTGTTTATGTTGAAAACTGTAAAGAACACAAGGGGAAAGGGTACATTGCTTGATATTATTACTTTTGTGAATTTTAGTAAATTTGGTTCACGAATCTGTGCTATACTCTATCATATATGTACAAACTTGTTCAGTTATTTCCAGACATTTCAGACATCCAATTTACTACTGGGTACATGTAGTTTATTTAAATTAAGTATATTTTGTGTGAAAGTTATCTGACAACAATTCTTAACTACTTAACTACTCATAAATGCAAAGATTTCATTATTATCAGTGGCAGTTTTATCTAGATATGTCAGTGATAATTTATATTTAGAGAGGGGGGGGGGCACTGAATGTGTTGGTTATTGCATGCATGTTACTATAAGATATGTGCTTGCTTGTAGGCTCCTTGCACATGATATATGTAGTACATCATTGTATGGGTGTCATGCATTTAATTATGCCTAACTTGATAAAAGTGGATGACTAGAGACTACAGGACTGTTTAATATGAAATTAAAAGATGGACATACAGATAAAACACTCAGCAACTACTACATGTAGCAGCCTATACTGGTGCATTTTTGCTCTGGTGAGTGCTGCTATAGGCCCCCTCACCAAGTGAAGACTCTTGTTTCTTTAACTGTTATTTTGGTCTATCTGCAGATGCATAGTTTTTTCAGTCAGTTTTCAAGATGAGTTTTACTGAATTGGAAAGTTACTACCAGATATATGCAGTCTGTGTAGATGTGATTGATATTGCTGTCTGCTCATCAGTTTAGATGGCTTAAAGGTATTTTGTCAATGATTAGATTTTCAGAAAAGGTCACGGTATCTGGATGGTACAATTTATATCTGAAGAAATCCAGCACATTGGTCTGCCTTATTTTGCAATTTGTATCTGTAACAATAGTTAGGTTTGAAAAGCCAAGTATTTTGTAAGGATAAGGAGAACCGATCTGATCACATATTTTTCTTACAGGAATAGATTGCATTCTACCCAGAAAAAAATTAAGGCTATTTGTTAAACTGCCATTTTGACTAGTCATGAAAAAGATTCTTATTGAACTTCTTAGGCAAATGTTAACTGTTACACATCTCCCATGTGGGAGCTGGGAATCCAAATTATGAAATGAATTTGTAACTGTCATTGTAAACATTAATGAAATATTGGTGAAGGTCCTCAACAGCTGATAGTTCTCTGCAAGAATCTGAAGTTCAGGAATAGGGTATATCATGTTTAAAACAAGAATTAGAGATATGTGTATGCAGTGCTGAGAGGCTTGCAAATAATTTCTCCTTTTATTCCAGGTACAGAATATTTATAAATGGTACTGTACATAACTTTTCTGCTCGTGTTCATGAATTTTTGAAATAAAAATTAGCATTTGATGTCCACATATATATAGTGTTCTGGACACTTTGTTGTTATCTGCTCTTCCTCTGTGACAGGTGTGATATTTGAGGACCAGGAGGATAGCATTGAAGGTAATACAACTAACTGCCAGGTGCTGGATACTTGTACTATTATTATATATTCATTTATATCACCAAGGTTGAAGGTTTAATTATACCATATTAAATTGACTGCATTGCCTTCCACTATTAGGGATTGTGCTGATCTGTATGATGGTATCTCTGGGATACATTCTTAACACTTATATCTATATATCCATGGAATTATGCCTTTTCTAAGCCATCTAAGTACACTCTCATTAGTAAATTTATATTGAAATTTTCATTCTCCAAAGTACTAGTTATTTTACTACATCATTTCCTACCATTTTTGTTGCAATTGTGAAGGGGGATCATTTACCTTTTGTTTAGCCACAGTAGTAAAACTCATTGTCACCTTTAGCTAGCAATGACGTTCTGATGCTTATACTAATAGCATTCCATTCCAGTTACTAGAATACTAGCCTGGTTCAGTGCCTTCGCACATTAGAGGCATATCTGCATGATAGATTAACATTTAATCTAGCTTTATTCTTAATTACAGTTTTAGTGAACTCAACTTGGGTGGTTTCAAGCATGTATGTAAACTGTTTGTAGTCTCTAATTTAACTTGCATTTTGTTGATTTTCTTTATTTATCATTTGATCATGTGTTAAATGATCATACCGATTAACAGAGCATTTAAACGGCCAAATTGGGTAATATATAATTTCTAATCTTGATCAATAATGAAGTAATGTGAAGAACATGTATTTTGTTTTGTAAGCAAAAGAAGTCAATGTGTTAAAGTGCTCAATATACCATTATGTCACTTAGGTAGAAAAACTATACATCCTGTATTTAAGTTGAACATTACAAGCATTTACAAGTATGTTTTTCTGGGTGTTTTATTAGAAAGCGTACATTAAGAGAGGTTATCAAAACCAGTGTGCTCAAGGTATCCTAGCAATCAAACAACATAAGGCTCCTTTTATCTACTCCTCCATTAACCCCATTTATCCTGCTGCTTTTTCATCAAGACTGACCTGTAATTAATCAATATTTTAAATTAATAAAGTGCAAAATCTGTCAGCCAAACTGAAAGCCAGTCTAATAAATATAACCAATCTAGGTTGATTTTTCTCTTTATGCACAAGTCAACATAAATTATCTTGCTAGGTGAATGTTACTAATAGGTTTAATATATGTACTAGTACATGTATCTTGATCAAACTACATGGAGAGATGCATGTTAAGATGTGAGTTAAATATTATAGGGGTGTTAAATTCTAAAAAGTATTCTAAATAGTATTTACTAGTATATTTAAACTACACCTCCTACTTGAGAAAAAGAGAGATATTTATAACCCAATCATGAAATGATAAAACTGGGTTCAAATTGCACATAATAATAGGGTTGATATAAGCAAACACTCACATACTGGCACTGACACAAATAAATTATAAATTGGTGGGTAATAAAATGTAACACTAAGGGTGCATTCCCAGAGATTTAGGCTTCGTTCACATGCAATGTCTATTTTCTATTTTCTATTTTCTATTTTCGGTATGTCTTATGATCACGGTCTGTGCACTTAATATCCCGCGGCGTAATTACTGGCAGCGCGAGCCAGTTACTTATAGTAACTTATAGTAACTGGCTCGCGCTGCCAGTAATTACGCGGCGGGATATTCAGTGCACAGACCGTGATCATAAGACATACCGAAAATAGAAAATAGAAAATAGA